CATACTCTACCCCCCTACTCCAGCTGGACATGGCCTCAGAAGGTGTTGCAGCATGCAGGAGGTAGAAGGCTAACTGAAGAAAGGCTTCATCTATGCAGTTTTTGGGAAGTCATCACCCATGCTAACACGGGACTTTTCAGTAAAACATCTGGTTCTATCCTGTAAGTAACCTTAACAGACCCGCTGATTCCCCCAACATGGGTTTGGGTGGAATCATGTCTTTCGTATGTTGCTGGTACTATACCAGGGATGAATAGAAAGAGACTCCTCGGGAAGCATTACACTATCCAGCTGTTTCATAAGCACATTCTTTATTAAATCCCTTCCTGCTGGATGTGAAGCAACAAGGACGCTCATTCAGTGCTGGGGGTGAGGGGATGGAGTGGCATAACCATTTCATAAATCCATTTGGCAGTGTCTGATAAACATGGGCCAGTATAACACAAAGCAATCTCACTCCAAGGAGTTCTCTCAAGACTAAAGGAAGCATATGCCCACACCAAGATTGGTACATGAATGTTCAAGCAGCGCGATCCATTTGGCCTATGGAAACAGTCCAGATGTCTATTAATAAAGAAATGGATACATTGGGCTACATCAGTACAACAATGTTATTAATCAGAAATAAAAACAAAAATGAGATTAGCACCTCCATCAGCATGGGCAAATCTCAGACATGCTGATGAAGACAGGCACAAAGAACTATGTATTTCATTCAGCCATAGCATAGGGGCTTCAAGCAAAAACTTAAAAATATTTGTCAAAAGATGCTATCAACAGATATTGGGGACGTAGCTAGGTTGGTAAAGTGCCGCTGCACAAACTCGAGGACCCAGGTTTGATCCTTGGTGTCTGCATAAGAAATCAGGCACGGTGGTGTGTAGTTATAATCACAGCATGAGAAAGAGAGACAGGCAGATGCCTGGGAGTCGCTGGCCAGTCAGCCTACTGATTCAGCAAGGCCCAGCTCCCATTGAGAGGCCCTGTCTCAAAAAACAAGGCAAATAATAGCTCTTAAGATAAACATTAGAAGCTATCCTCTGACCCCCAACACACACACACACACACACATGCACGCACGCACGCACACACACACACACACAGAGAGAGAGAGAGAGAGAGAGAGAGAGAGAGAGAGAGAGATACATAATAAAAAAGCAACCTAAAGAAGGGGAGGGAATATTTGTAAATCACACAGCTGATAGGGAAATAACACTCAAAACATATGGGGAAAATCCTGAAAAGTAATTCAAAAACAAGCCAGGGCATTTCTCCAAATAAGGGCCACACCAGAGGCTGTTCAGCCAGAGGGAAATAAAAATCAAAACCACAACAAATGCCATAATGAAACCAACACTGTGTCTCCTAAGAAAAGAATATCACCTCATTCCCATTAGGGTGGCTCCTGTTGGCAAAAATGTTGGCCAGATGTGAGCAGAGTGGAACCTTTATGTGCTGCATATGGGAATAAGAAGTAGTATAGACGCTGGGTAAACAGTGTGTGGGGGCCTCAGAAGCTTAAAAATGGGGCATAGGGATGTAGCTTCCTTGGTAGAACATTTGTCTAGAATGCAGCAAGCCCTGGACCCCAGCATCACATCAGCTGGGGGCGGTGGCACACACCTGTAATTTCAGCACTCAGGAGGTGAAGGCAGGAGGAGCAGAAGTTCAAGGTCATTCATAATGACTTTGGGGCCAGCCTGGGATACACAAAACCCTGTTTCAAAGTAATTAAAAATAGAAATGTGATACGATTCAGCAATTCCATTTCTAGGCTTGAACCCCTCAGGGATGAAAAGCAGACTTGAAGTCATATAAGTGTGTCCACCCTGGTTCGTAGCTGTGTTGTCCATAAGAGTCAAATTTATAGAGATAGAAAGTAGAACAGTGGCTGCCACCCACAGAGAGAAGGGGATGTGGGAAGTGACTGTTTAATGAGCACAGGGTTTCAGTCTGGCAAAATGAAAAGCTTGGAGTTGAAGGGTGGTGAGTCTTACACAATCCGACCGCCCTTAGTGTCACTAAATTGTGTGATTACAAATGATTAAGATGGCAAATGAGTTCTGTTCTGTGTGTTTGGAAACAATACAAAGTCTTTGAAAGACTAATAGTATTACATTAAAATTATATTTCAAAAGAAAGTTGTCTGCTCTTGGTGTCAATTATATTGTAACCCCAGTGGCAATGGGGATGGGAAGTCTTGGCTTCTGGTCAGCCATTTGGTGGAAGGACAATATCTATGACATAGATGCCTCTGGAGAAGGTGGGTGGCTGAGCTGAAGCTGAGGGAGAAGGATGCTGCTCGGATTCCTCATTGCTCCCATTGCCTGCCCTGTAGCTCATCTCTTAATAGTTTCCAAGGGAGCACAAAGCTTGGAATGTACACATTGCTCTCACTTGGCAACCAGGAACTGGTGGCTGCAGTCACCACCAAGTCCTTCCTGTCACCTTATGCCCTTATCTGGCATGGGTCCTTTTCCACCAAGATAAACAGGGCATACCTGATGAGGAGGCATCTCCCACCTGCTCCCTGTCACACAGGCAGACTGGGGCTCTTGCTGATGTAGGTAAGTCCACAGGAAGATCTGGATGGACCAGGGAGGTGCAGAGAACTTCTAGTCTAGAGAATCTTCTCACTTGTTCTCCATGGGTGGAAGATGCAGGGGACGGGGTAAGTAGAACACAGTCAGGCCCTTACAGGTTGGTGCGGGGAAACAGCTCAGCTCCATTCTTTCAATGCACTAATGCGTTTCCCAAATTGACTGCTAAGACACAGACTTTCTAAGGCACAGATCACCATTAGCTGGGGATAGGAGGACCACAATAGACGCCGTGCCCTGACCATCTCAGCAGTCACCTGTAAGCACCAAAGCCACTTCCTTGGAATTCTGTAACTCTCACCTGAGGGTTCTCCGTAATGCTAGAAGTAGCTCTTACTGGAGTGAAACATTCCCAATACCCCAGTCTTGAGTTGGGACATCTCTGAGATCTTTCATACTCTCCCCTCACTGGTCCCCAGCAAGTGTGAGCCCCAACTGCCCACAGAGGCTTGCTCAGGCACCTCCTTTAGCCCACCCCTCCTGAGAGGTACTGGAATTCGCTCCCAAATAAGCCATTCAGAACGTCTTTCCCCAACAGGATCTCCTGAAGCCCAGGATGGCCTTGAACTCTTTACCCTATGCCCCTTCCTCCCAAATACTGGAATTACAGACACAGGCCCCCATACCTTCAGCATCGACTTTGGGAGAAGTCCTGCTAAGATAGCCCCTGGTGTATAAAAGAAAGGGGAGGTGTGTGGCTGCAACTCACAATGACTTGCAGTGCGGAACCAAAGGATAGGAGAGAACTGACTGCTCGTGAAGTAAGAGGCTGCATTAAAAACAAAAACAAAAACAAAAAACAAACCAAGACAACAGGGAAGAAAAAAACTTAAACGCATTAATAAAGCTGACCAAAAGTCTAGCCTGCCCTTTATTATCATCATGAGGCAGCAATTCTAACCTACCTCAGTGATAAAATTCTCCCCTTACTGGTGCCGATAGCTTTCTCTGCTGCATGCTACCCCCTTGGCATGCCGCCAACTTCTGGAGCAAGAGTGTAGTTAAGATGAGCAGGAGATGAGAGGGGCGGTGCTGATTCTCCGGTCTCACAGGAGGAGCTTCACTTCACATCGCTGCCTTTGCACATTCTGGTCCCTTTCACAAGGAATTTTTTCTTTATTCTCCCATGAGAGCTCTGTGCAGTCGGTCATCGCCTTCTCCAAGAAACCCATCCTGACCCTCACATGCATGGACCACATGATTCCTGGGGCCTTGTGTAGGCCTCTGAGCACTTCCAAAATGGCAGTTTCACACTGGATTGCTTTTGTCTGTTTTGTTTTTTAAAAACCACTAGACAGCTCCATTAGGACCAGACAATGGCTTGTTCACCTAGGCACAAGAGCTGAGGAAGTCAAGCTCTTATAGGCAGGAGAGCAGGGGGTGAAAGGACACTTGGAGGTGACATCAGAAAGGCGTAGGGTTTGTGGAGTAAGAGGGTGGCAGACCTAGAGTGGACTTTTCTTCTCCTTTGTGGTGGGAGTTCCGGGTGGTTTGGACTTAAGGAACGTGATCTTCCCTGTGTGTTAACAGAATTTCTTTGGTTGCAGGCTGAAAACAGCGTAGCAGAAAAGGCTGGTGCCAGGTACCCAAGTGAAAAACAGCAATGGCTTGGGTCATGGTACCAACCAAGATGGGGAAAGTGACTTTATTTGACTACCAAAAGCTACTGAACTTGAAGAAACTTGGAGAAATAATAGGTGGTAAAAATCTTGACGGAGACAGACTAACAAGTGACTGACATTTGACTATTGGCTCACGGGCTCTTACAATGCTCTGATCTGGTTTGTCACTTGCAAAGGGAAGGTGGGTAATAGAATAGACCCCATGAATTTGTTAAAAGGGGGTGTAAAGGTTTTGGCACAGGATTTGGCATGCGATCTGCATGTACAAAAGCTATCCTAGATAGAAGCCAACTTACCAGCTCCCAGGAGCATCTAAGCCACTTACTGGCTGACTGTGACACGGCTTCCAAATCTACAAAGTGCTAGAGTGCTGTCGTTAATACCAACTGCATACGAGATAATCTGGGGAGTTCAATAAATGCATCCAAGTTTAGCATATAGAATAAGGTGCTACGAGGCAAGCACTACAGGCACGCTAATAAATTGCTATATATATATAAAAAAAAAAACACCTAAACCAGATGGTCTCAGTTCTTCCCCAGCCTAGTACACACTCCACTTCGCAGATGAGACGGCTGCTGTAGTTGGCAGCAAGGTGGCCTCTCTCCAGGCATGAACTGCCTAACACTTAGCGGTTGGCCAGCTGTAGGCGGAAGCAGAATCTGGCTTTGAGAAACCGAGTCCCCGCCCGCGTGCTCCCTGGCGGAACCTTCCAGCGAGGCGCCGACAGTTCCAGCCCGGAGCGTATACAAAGCTAGGAGCTGTTTCCGGCGCAGGTTTCTGTGTTTCTGCGCAGGTGCGTACGGAGCACGGAGCCAAAAGCGAAGGGAGTTTCTACCCCAGGCGTCGCCACTGCGCGCAGTCCGGCTCCTCCGAGGCGGAGCGGCTTGCGGCACTGCCAGCTCCTTTCCTTTCTTCCCCACAGAAGCCGCGAGCGTCCATGGCGGGCTTGGAGGTTCTCTTCGCTTCGGCCGCGCCGGCCATCAGCTGCCCGCAGGACGCGCTCGTCTGCTTCCTGCACTGGGAAGTGGTGACAAACGGCTACTATGGCTTGGGCACCGGCGACCAGGTACGCTGCGGAGCCGGCCTGGGTGGAGGGGAGTCCGAAATCAGAGGCCCAGAGGCCTCGCCTGACCCTGCCAAGCCAGGGCCCCGGGCTTCTGTCGCCGCACTTTAGCGCGCCTGGAGCTGGTGCCAACAGCTGGCACAGTGTGTGTGTAAACCCGAGAACGGAAAGGCGTCCCGGCACAGCCCAGCAGTCGCTCAGGCCATGTTGTGTGGATCTGACACCGAGACAAGCTAATAGCTTCCTCAAAGTCCCCATCCATCTAATTTCCACAAAGCATCATTATCATACAGTCATGGCGTGGAATACTCAATGCTACACACCTCACTCAAGACACACACCGCCCCCCCCCACCCCAAATCTGGTTCCAAGCACAGGTGTAGTGGTGAACTTTGGCCTACTCACCCATATTCTAGAACCCCCACTCAGCAGGATGGACCAACCACCATCTACTCACTACTCTTCTTCCCGTTCTTCCCTTAGCTGTCTCCACCAGAATCCCATCTACTCTCCTATCTCCAGATTCTGCCACTTAACTGATGGGGCCTTGTTGACATCCGCATACAGGCCCAGTATACATGACGGATTCTCTGTCCTAGCCGCCTCCTTTTCTCTGCCCCTCCCTCATGACCGCTATGTCTACCTGTATGGCAGGTTTTTGGGTGAACTGGTCCTAGTCCCTTTACTGCTCCCTCAATACTCATCTGCTCCGTCAGAGGAAGTATCCTCCCGGCCACAGTCCCACGTACACATCCTTGGGGACTCAGGGACTCCAGGCCCCTCTGTCTCTATCTTGACAATCAAAATTCAGACCAGTTCTGGGAAGAAGGTCCTCTCACCCCCTGGATCTTACAGAGAGACTTCATCTTCGTCTCATTTCTAACTGCATCAGTTCCCAAGCCCCTACTTATTTTTAACTTCTTTGATATATATGTTAGTACTCTTTCTCTCCTAACACAACTTTATGAACTCCTCCTTTGACACACTTTGACCTTGCTGAACACTTAACCCCTGCTGGAGTTCCATCCTTGTCTGAACTAAGACCACTCTTCTTTACCACCCATCAGAAGGAAGCAATACACAAAGATTTTTATTGATTTCTTTACTCTCTCTGTTCCTTACCAAACCTCAAGTAGTACCCAGAACTAGAAGATGCAGGATCCAGACATCTCCCAGAAGGACAAGGAGCCTGGAGGCTAGGGGTTTTGGAAAGCATTGCCTGCTGGCCCTTTGTCTACCTGCATGCCCTTAGAGGAGACAGGGTTGTGGTGTGTTTGTTTCCTGCTGTCCCATCTCCGAGTCCTTGCGGGGCTCAGGTTGCACTTGTCCACTTGTTGCAGATGGGTGTACTTGTGTTCAGAGTAGAAGTCAAAAGGATTTGGGAGGCATCTTTGCTGTTAATTTATCTAGTAGAGAATTTTATTTTCCAGCGGGGGCCAGCAAACTAATAATGCTTGCCTGACTCGGAAGGCATTTATATTGTCTCTCTAGCCGCCTCCTGCCACCCACCCTCCCTGGAGTGATAACAGGGAAACAAAGTCCTCAAGAGTACACACTGGACTGTGTGACACCATCTGGGCGGCTAAACGGAAAGCTATCTTATCCACTTTCTCTTGGGCTTTGTGTCTAGCACTGTAGAGCTGTGCATGTAATATTTGATTTGAAGACCAACAGATCCCTTGACTTGGAACAAAAATCTGACATTGGTTTGGCTTCCCTTTTGAGGTCAGGGCAAACAGCTCAGTAGCTGTGTGGATGACTTAAGTGGCGGGGGCATGGAGATGGCCATAGACATAGAATTTGGCTTTCTGTTGTGGGAGTCTGAAGATTATGAAGAAAGAGAAAATGACCTGTTTGTGTGGTTTTGGTGGTTGGTTGGTTGCACTCTAGTCTGTTGGCACTGGGGGAGCTCAGCAGCCATTAAAGGATGTTTCTAAAGTTCCCCTTAGCTTCTCAGGACCAGTCTTCTGGGGAAGCTCTCCAGCCTGCCCTGCACTGCTCAGTACTGCCCTGTACTTCACTGCCCTGCCCTTGAACAGGTCTCAGCTCCTCTCAGGCCGTTGAGTTCTCAAGTGAGAGAGTTAAATTATACAAACACGCATTGGTCACTTGCCAACCATCGCCTTCTGGGACACTTGATATTTATATCAAGGTGCCGAGGGCGGCCACATGAAGTGTTGGGCCTGTGCCACTGCTGTTTTCTGAGGAACACCAGTCTTATCACAGTGAGGCGTCAGCTTTACCTGACCCCAGCAGTTCTCTCTGGCTCTGGAATGAAGGTGTTGAGGTGGGGAGCAGAACAGGTGTCTGTATGCTGAGAGCACATGCTGGTGGCACACACATAGGAGGCAGGAGAAAGCCAAAGGCCTTGACAGAACATAGATAAGGTATGTCACCCTGGCTTCCAAAGTAACTCTTAAATCTACAGCACTGTGGGAGTCATCCAGTTTAGGCAAGAGAGTGGTTTCTCAGGGCCGTGGTTAGTTTCGCTTTCGTTTCCCCATGCTCTCCCCTTTGAGGCTTGTATGATTGTCACCTAGCCAAGTTTGACTGGGCCTCCTCTGCCAATGGATTTCCAAGCACCAGGGGTGGCTTCCCTTGTCCTTGTGTGTAAAATCCTTCACGTCTGGACCTTTTCTTTATCAGTGTTCTCCATCTCTAGCCTCCTTCCCTTCCACATGTTCTCATGAACACAGCTTCTGGTCATGTATATGTAAATGTGTGGTTTTTAAGGTTTTTTTTCATAAATGATATTGGACCTTAAACCATTTTCCAATTCCTTCCACTCCCTCTGTAAATCCTCACTTCAGATAGCGCCCCCCCCCCCACATAGCCCTCCTTGTAAACCCCAATCCAGTTAATGCTTCCTGCTGGAATATTGCTGATCTTGTTGATTTGATCTTATGTAGGTAACTATGTCAGTATGAGCTCATAAGTGCAGTGGCCATGTGTCCCGGAAGACAGTGATCCCTGGAGTTCCCCCTTGTCCTCTGGCTTCTACATTGTCTTTGCCAACACACATACACACACATACAGAGTTTTCTCTAGAATGCTATGATTAGATCTAGTGTGTCCTTTCTAATAGCCATGTTATATCTGCTGTCAGTGCATTTTGCATTTTACCTCTGCTTTGGCTGCTCAAGCCCAGGCTGAGGTGAAGATCCCAGTTGCTTATCAGGTCCCATGTGTCTCCACAGGTTTCTTCTAGGAGGACATTTGAGTGTTGGCTTATAGGCTAACCTAATAGTACTAAATACAGCTAGATAGTATCCCAAAGGGCCTGTGTAAGTTTAAATCCCCATAAGTAGTGTCTGAAAGTCACTCGTGCCCAGTCAAACTCATAGTCATAGGCTGATGGATGGGTATAACCTAGATCTCCTTATTTCAGCCATGCTTCTCCAATAGCTAGTAAATTTGAGTAAAAGAAACTTTTATACTGTTAGCTGCTTTTTCTGTTGTTTGCTTTCCAAGTACCCCCTTATGTGCTGGTTATTAATAATTGCCATTTGTGGATCCTTTTGGCTGCAGTATCTATGACTGAAGAAAAGTTTTATGTTATGGTTGTCTCACAAGTGGCATTGTGTTTCTATAGGGGTCCAGCTTAAGCCCTTTTCTTCCCATCTGGAAATAATTGTGCTTATTTTGACTATAACTTGGGAACTAGTCTCATACTTCAATGTATAAAAGGGAATGTCCTAGTTGGTTGGGTTTTTGTTTTGTTAACTTAACACAAGCTAGAGTTATATGGGAAGGGGAATCTCAGTTGAGAAAATGCCTCCATAATATAGGTAAATCTGTAGGTAGGCCATTTTCTTAACTAGTGATTGACATAGGAGAGGCAGCCCAGCTCACTTTTTAGTTGGTTCTAGGGTACATAAGAAAGCAACCTGAGCAAGCCAGTAGGCAGTGTTCCTCCATAGCTTCTGCTTCGGTTCCTGCCCTGTCTTCCTTCTATGATAGACTGTGATGTAGAAAACTAAATAAAATAATAAAGTAAATAAAAATAAACCCCGGTTGCTTTTTTTTTAAATTTATTTATTTATTAAGGATTTCTGCCTCCTCCCCGCCACCGCCTCCCATTTCCCTCCCCCTCCCCTGATCAAGTCCCTCTCCCTCATCAGCTCAAAGAGCAAACAGGGTTCCCTGACCTGTGGGAAGTCCAAGGACCGCCCACCTCCATCCAGGTCTAGTAAGGTGAGCATCCAAACTGCTTAGGCTCCCCCAAAGCCAGTACGTGCAGTAGGATCAAAAACCCATTGCCATTGTTCTTGAGTTCTCAGTAGTCCTCATTGTCCGCTATGTTCAGCAAGTCCGGTTTTATCCCATGCTTTTTCAGACCCAGGCCAGCTGACCTTGGTGAATTCCCGATAGAACATCCCCATTGTCTCAGTGTGTGGGTGTACCCCTCGCGGAACTCGTGCTCCCTCTCCTTCTGCTCCTAATTTGGACCTTGAGATTTCTGTCCGGTGCTCCAATGTGGGTCTCTGTCTCTGTCTCCTTTCATCGCCTGATGAAGGTTAATATTCAGAAGGATGCCTATATGTTTGTCTTTGAATTCACCTTCTTATTTAGCTTCTCTAGGATCGCGAATTATAAGCTCAATGTCCTTTATTTATGGCTAGAAACCAAATATGAGTGAGTACATCCCATGTTCCTCTTTTTGGGTCTGGCTTACCTCACTCAGGATAGTGTTTTTCTATTTCCATCCATTTGTACGCAAAATTCAAGAAGTCCTTGTTCTTTACTGCTGAGTAATACTCTAATATGTATATATTCCATACTTTCTTCATCCATTCTTCCATTGAAGGGCATCTAGGTTGTTTCCAGGTTCTGGCTATTACAAACAATGCTGCTATGAACATAGTTGAGCATATACTTTTGTTGTATGATAGGGCCTCTCTTGGGTATATATTCCCAAGAGTGGTATTGCTGGGTCCAGGGGTAGGTTGATCCCGAATTTCCTGAGAAACCACCACACTGCTTTCCAGAGTGGTTGCACAAGT